ACTAACTGGTATTCAAAAATTTATTGCGCATCTCCAGAGGCATAATAAGCTTATCTTCGTTCAAAAAAGCTATGCCCAGATAAAAGGCAGGTCATAAGAGTGAACAAATGGTGCGAAACAGAGGTGCAGATAGGGACTCCTGCTTCGAGTCGTGCAGTCTGTTCTAAGTATGCCCGGCGAATCATATCATGAAGTTTTGCATTCTGAACAATTACTCGAAAATTCTCACAATAAAACCGAAAAGAAGTGAAGCAAAACATATGAAACAGGGACAAGAGATGAATTATGACAAGAAAGCATAAGAGTGAACAAATGGTGCGAAACAGAGGTGCAGATAGGACTCCTGCTTCGAGTCGTGCAGTCTGTTCTAAGTATGCCCGGCGAATCATATCATGAAGTTTTGCATTCTGAACAATTACTCGAAAATTCTCACAATAAAACCGAAAAGAAGTGAAGCAAAACATATGAAACAGGGACAAGAGATGAATTATGACAAGAAAGCAGTAGATATTCGATTCCTACTACTCAATTCTGAACTCTAACTTTACAGTGCTGGCTTCTTCGGAACACCTTTCGTGGGATGTGAGAGTGCGACTGACATGTTGCGCTTGATAGGATCAGCAAGTTTGCGGGGTGCGGACACGTTTCAATGTGACGTATAGGCGACCAGACCACGGCCAAGTGGTCTAGTGGTATGATTCTCGCTTTGGGTGCGAGAGGTCCCGGTTTCGATCACCGGCTTGGCCCGAAATTTTTGCACGTGCCTACACAATGTCCTCGTTAGCTAAGCACAACAAAAACAAAACAAACGACATTTTCAACAAAGACCAACCTTGAAAGGTAATTCGTTGCTACACAGTTCAACGATTCAATACGGAGATCCAATGCGGAATATTCCAAACGAGTTGTTCGGGTTGCCTGCTGAAAGAATTATGTGAAGTTCATAGGAACAGCTCTTCATTCATATCGTACTTAGGGAACGTAAGCTGGAGATCCCCAGCAAAGGGCCATATAAATAATTTTGGTTAGTGACTATTTCAAGTGCGTTGTATACTCCTCCTTCCCCCCCCCCCATTGAGAAAAGAATAGAGAATTTTTGGAAGAAAAATGGGAAAAAGTTGGGAAAACTTAGGAACATGGGTAGAGGTGGGATGAGGGATGGGAGAGGGGGTTGCACCAAAGGGAGAAATTTTGAGCAGCTCGGGTCTTGCGAAAAATCTCCTCAACAGCAGGGCAACGCGCTGACCTTAATATTCTGCTAGTTAACACGTTTTCTATGAACAGATCCTCCGGGTATACTCCCGCGGTTTCAGACACGATATGCATTTCTCTTTCCAGATCGTATAGCAGCATGTAGCATAGGATGTTCCATTTATGCC